AGTGCCCCCCCACAGAGAGGGAGGCAGTGTGGTGGGGAAGGGGCAACAAAGGGAGGAAGGTGGAGGGGCAGAATGGGGAGTGCAGCAAGGCAGAGGGAGGGGAAGGCAGGGGGAATGGGGTAAAAGAGGGTGTGGAAAGGGAGGAAGGTTAGGGGAGGGGGAAGGGAGGAGAGGGCAGGGCCAGGCAAGGCACAGGCCAGCAGAGCTAAGCTGAGCGGGTTTTTCCCGTCCCTGCAGCGTGAGTCACGGGAGCTTGTGCGAGGACGCCAGCTCTCTCCCAGCTCCAGCTTCAGCTCCAGCTCCCTCCCTCCCTCCCTCCCTGCTCCAGCTCCCGCTCCTTCTCTGTGCCTGTCCTGCCCAGGGCCTCTGACATTGCTGTGCCATCCAAGCTCAGAGATGAGGCAGCTGCAGGGAAGGTGAGCCACATGGGGAGGGAAGGCATGCAGTGGTGGGATCAAAAGGGGTGGCATCTGGTACCAGGAGGGTAAGAGGCTGGGGAAGTTGGGCGTAGTGTGTGCGTGTTAGCACAGTGTATGGTGGAGGGGGAGGGGAGGGGAAGATCTGGAGGGCTGGCACTGTACATAGGACAGTTGTGAGTTGTGCATGGACTTGGGGTCCTGGAAGGTTGGGGTGCAGATAGGGCTGTGTGGTGTTGGAGCTGAGGGGAGCTGGCTCTGATGGTAAGAGGCAGGACCCATGCTGTCCAGCTGGGTCTCGGCTGGTTCCCTTGCTGTGGGGCAAGGTGAACTGGGGGTAGGGTTGATACAAAAATGGGGCTGCAGGGTGCAGCTCTGGAAGGCGGTCTTTTCAGGAGGAGCTGGCAGAGAACTGACCAGCTAGGTGTGAGGGGGCCAAATTCTGAGGGGTCTGCTGGGAAATCCAGGCCGTGCATGTCCTGTAGAGAGGCACTACCTGTTCCTTTCCTGTCTCACCATCCTATAACATCCCTCTCCTCTCTATAGGGGCTGACGCATGCACTGCATCCATCAAGACTCAATTCCAGCTTCCGCCATGGCCTCCCAGCCTCAGCCCCTGCACCCTCCATTTCCCTGCACCCCCTCCAATGGCAGTAGGGAGGATGGGGCTGGGCAGCTGTCTGGTGGCCCGGAGTCAGGTCTGTGCTCTGGGGAAGAGGAGCTGAGTGGAGGTGGGATGTTTGGGCTTGGAGGGAAGGGGGCAGAGAGGAGGGGTGGCAGAGTGCCTAATATTTCCCTGGAGCAAGAGGTGGGGAAAAGGTGGGGCAGGAAGTGTCACAGTTCAGGTGACTCCAGGGAAGGATATCAGGAAATGGGGTGTGGGGTGCTAGCTCTGATCTGCCTTGAGCCTGGGGGCTTTTGCTAGTTTAGGTAATGGGGAGTGGGATGAGGGGCTTCTCCCCTCTAAGGGGCATTTTCTCTGATTCTGTGTGAGGGTGGGAAGCAGGGTCATGGGGCTGAGACCTTGATCACTTCCACTATTTTGAGGTCCATCTATGACACAGGTTTGAGTTCTGAGTCTGGTACTGCCTTCACAGAACCCCCTTGGACACTGAGCACAGGCCCTGGACAGTTGTTACCCTGTGGGAGGGCCCCTCCCTCGCAGCCCATGGTCATGGTGCTAGACCACTCTCCTGTGGTGGAGGAGGCTGTCATTGCCTCTTTCATGAGGTTTGCCTCTGAGGTGCACTCCCACCCCTTCTCTCCCTGCAGGTGACAGTCGCCCAAAACCTCCGGTCAGGCCTAAACCCCGTGTGCTGCCCAAGCCAGCTGTGCCAGCGAAGCCCTGTACTCCGTTGCCGTCACTTGGGGTGCGAAACACCCGT